TTTCTACCTTTGTGTTTGTCTCTTACATCTTTGACACACTTTTCTGTCCCCCCCCCCTCTCGACTATTTTTAATTTGATGTTCCTTCCTCTCTGTGAAGCTTGAAGTCAACTAAAGGGCTAATGATAATCATCAAGACGCCTGCCATTTGATATAAATAAATAAAGTTTCATCACTAGAAGGCGTGAAGATCAGTTAGTGAAATGGAATTATTTACTTTTTTCTGCCACAGTAGATATTTAGTGAGTCATGGAAATTTTGTGATGAGTGAGTTTTTTTGGAGAAGAATTATAGTTTTGAGTTTGTGGATCAGGGCTAAGCAGCAGTCGACTTTTAAAACGGTCAATCGCAATCTTTGACACGAGAGAACGTCTCTTGCTTCAATACAGAGAGGTAAGAAGTTTGCTTAACTAATACCTAACTCATTAATTAGTAAAACACCTTTTTAAGGCAATCATGCCTAAGAAGAATGTCCATCGGTGATTATTAGGACAGAGGCACATCTTCTACCTCTTCTACCTCTTTCGGGTTTGCACTACTAGCGCAATGCTAAAACCAAGTTGGAAGACAAGATCCTATTGGTAGTTAAATACCTCAACAATAGGACCTTCATTTTACTGACTTTACTGATGAACTAAAAATGAACTTGCTTTTTTTCTATTTAATAGACACAATTTTGGTCTAGTCACTATGACTCAGTGCAGCTTTAATTGGGGGGGGGGGGAAGGGGGGGGGTCATGATCAATCGCCGGAACCTAGATTTTGGACATGGTGTGGGGGGAGTATAACTGTGTAAGTTCATTGATCGGAGGTTCAAATGCTACTGGTAAATGTCGCCATTGGTACAGCCATAAGAGTTGACAGTTTTTTGTCATCCCCTGAACACTTTTCTTAGAATGGGATATGGCCAACCATATACGAAGTTTCTCGGAAAGGTAATAGGTGGTCTCGCACTATTACTATGAACTAAAGTCAACAAACATTTTGAGTGTTCAGTTACTGCGTCCTTTAAGTGACATCAAAGAAAGTCTGTGGAAAGGAAGGAAGTGTTGAAAGGGGATACAAATTTCTCAAATCTCATTGAAGTGAATTTGCAATACAAATAAAAAATGTTTATTCTCAATTTACTTAACCTTTATCATTGCTAACGAGAAGTAATTGTATTTTCGACTGTGATGTGATTTTAATTATATCTGTGGGGGAAGTTAGATCGGTAATTTTTTGGCGTAAACCTGGTTTTTGACTTAGAGACTTTGCATTCGTTGCCCTTGAAAGCCCTGGCATCTATGTTAGACTAACGTCATCACTATTGTCACTATTATAACCCACTTAAGATACGAAAGTACGCTTTCGGAAATAGAGACTAGTATTAGAATAGAATGCTGCAAAGTGACGAAAATTATGGCTGTTTACTCCTCAGACAATACGTCAACTTTTTACTCTTCATATTTTCTAGGGCATTATTCGTTGGATTAACCCCAATTTCCAAGCGGCTTAATGTCCCCCCCCCTGGTGTTTAGAGAAAGGGTGTGCAATAGACTTACCTCCACTTGGTGCACCTTGGGCAACGTATACTCATACGGCAAAAAAGTCTATTAATCAAACTACCATGTCCCCTGTCTATGTCATATTCTACCACTTTTACAGTACTCACCTCACCTTTTCCTCTACCTTTGTGTCTGTCTGTCTCTTTTACATCTGTGAACTCTACCTTTGTGTCCGTCTATCTCTTTTACATCTGTGAATCGCTTTGCCTTTGTGTCTGTCTGTCTCTTTTACATCTGTGAATCACACTTCTGTTCCCCATCCATCCACATTTGGTGACCTGATGTTCCTCCCCATGTGAAGCCCGAACTCGACTAAAGGGCCATTGGTAACTATCATTTATTTATTTATTACAAATGGTAGGCGTTTTGATAGTTATCATTATCCCTTTAGCTGACTTCGGGTTTCACAGAGGCGAGGAGGAACATCAAAGGGAGAAAAAGTCGCGAGGGGGACAGAAGATTGATTCAAAGATATAAAAGAGACAGACAGACACAAAGGGAGAGAAAAGGTAAGATGAGTACTGTGAAAGGGGTCGAATAAACATACAGTGGGGTGATGGTAGTTAGAAGTCAGAAGTCAATAAAAGGTAAGATGAGTACTGTGAAAGGGGTCGAATATGACATGCGGTCGGGCCAAGGTAGTTTGAAGTCAGAAGTCAACTGCCGGCTAATAGACTGTTTGGCCGTATGAGTATACATTGCCCAGGGTGCACCACGTGGAGGTAAGTCTATCGCACGAACCTTGATAACTATCATAAAGCCTACCATTTGATATAAATATTTAGAGATTAGCTATCGACAATTTTGTTGTAGTAAAGTTCTTTTCAGCATTATAGAGTTAGTTAAAGTTGATTCAAAATTACGTGCGTTATTTTGGGTTATTTCAATTGCTCTCTCATTCCTATTGCGCCCACAGCAACAAGCAGGAACTCAGTTGATTGAGAAAGCATCACTTTCTTTTTCCTCACAAAGAAATATTTTCTGCATGGATTCGCCATATGTCGTGGTGATGAGGACGAAGGGTCAATACTGAAACTGTTCCAAAAAGAGGAGGAAAAATCTTTTTTAAACTGAAATGCTAACAGAAGTAGATGGAGTGGGTTTCTTGTAAACCCCCCCCCCCCCACCTTAATATATTTTGCGTGCCTGAGAAATTTATAAGTCACTGGTGATTCAAAAAAATTGGAATAATTATATGCTCACGCACTTTTGCTAATACCCCAAAAGTAATGTTTTTTGGCACTAACGGTTTTGATTAACTTTCTCCTAATAAAACTTGTACCAGAGTAGCCTAGACGAAAGAAGGAAGGAGTCGTTGATATGTTAAGGCTCGTAAGTGTGGGATTCGGCTGCAGCCAATGGGTGCGTACTAGAACCACGTTTTTGCTACTGCCTTATATATATTTTCTTGCGCGCACGCTGCGATACGCCAAATTACATTTGTCGTTTGCTAATCAGTCCCATCGAATTGTGTTTCTTCTGAGGGAGCTGACGAATAAAATCTTATCTTACCACTCTCAATCACTATTCACTCCAGGTAAGTCAATACCCCTATCTTCCTTTAACCTTATTGGTGGTTTTTCCTATTTTGAACCAAAGTTAAACGCTCTAATTTGCCATTAGTACTATTTGGACCATCAAATGTTGTTAGGCTTATTTTGTCTAAGCTAAAGGTATTCATAGCATAGAAGAGGTGGTGAATTAGTAAGGCAGTTCTAGTGTATGAAATTTGGCAAGATTGTATTAAATAGGCTTTTCTACACCAACTTATTGAATTAGTGATTGCCGCTTGCGCCTGGAGTCACGGCCGCACTGCGTTAGGTAAGCACGTGGCCGAGTGGCTGCGATCATGGGCAAGTAAAGCCTATACTACTAGTAATGACCTTGGAGCTGCAGCAGTAGCGTTACTGCCTGTCTATCCCACTAACGTGTATTTGAACGAATCAAGGCTGTAATGAGCGCGGACGCATGATAGAGAACCCATACACACACATCCAATTGGTTAGCTTGTTAGCCAATCACCCCACCTCAACTCATTCTGAAGGCTAGTTTCATTGCGAATTCCCTTAAATCTGAATCAGGCTCGCATCTCTGTGTTACTTTGACCAGTGCCGCGACCCTTAAGTTGACGAATTGGAAATCGTGCACGCATACGTGGGTGCGGCTGTATGTGCATGCATGTATGAGAGGGGTCCGCCCACGCGAATCTTAAATAAAGGCCCTGGTCGTATCGTTGAACTTCGAGTTTCATTCGTAAAAAGGTGTTAGCGCACCGCTAACGCGTGCATCAGTTGAAGCCGAGCCTCTCTTCCTTAAACCCTTCTCTCAAACTTACAAACACCAGCAAACAGCACACGGTTTCCGAATTGTGTGTATGATTGTATGAATGGTGTATGCCCTTCTTTTCAAATTCTACGTGGTGACAAATAAATACAGGCACTGAAATCACTTTTTTCTTCAAAGAGGCAAGCCAAAGATGCAGCAAAATCCGCATGAGAATTCACCTCCGTCTTCACCTAAAATGAGGACAGGAGGAGGAGAGAAAATTACTTCAAGTACTGTAGTAATTCCCCCACCTACTTCAACTACTCTACCACACACTTTCGACACGAAGGGCATTTCTGATTTTGAATCACTACCGGTTTCTTCTTCTCTTTATCGAAGGAGACGTGACGAGAAGAAGATGTCCATAACAACTGCAGGAACGACAGCTAGTAGCAGTCGACCTGAGGATGAGGAAGAAGATTCTGATGTCGACACACTCCTCATGGAAAGTCCTACAGCTACTGGGAACGATGGACACAGGCAGCGGGTTACCTCTTCTCTCCGGTTCGGCACCAATCGAAGTGGTTACTCAGACTCTGGAATATTTGATACGAGTTCACCAGGAAGCACTGCAACTCATTCTCTAGCCAGGAGTACAACAAGTTCTAAAAAACGACCCAGTGTACGACCCGTGGTAAGGGACATGTATTCCGAGTACACAACCTCAACTCCTCTACCGGAGAGAGCTGTAAAACGAGCAAGAACAGTCCTTTCAACAGCGTCTATTAGTTTGAAACCAGCTCTGGATGCGTCCAGTAGCACTGATGATTTCTATTATCCCTTGGATGCCTCAGTCTTACTACCAACCCAGAGAGCTACTCCTCTAGTTGTTCACCGAGCAAATATTTCAACTCCAACCCTTCTTCCTTATTCGACCACAGATGCATATACCCAACCAACAGGGAACGACCAAGAGACCCAAACTGTTATTAGTACTATCGAGATTCCTGAATCCAAGCCAACAAAAACTAAACGAAAAAGCGTAACAAAGCGTTTCACACTTTTCCGATCTGGTAAAACAAGTACTCATCATCAACAACAACAACCATTGGCAGCACACAAAACTCTTAGTGCACCTAGCGACCAATTGCTTTCTGAGCACACAACTGAATTTAGCACTTGCGGCGCACAAGCACCCACGGGTATCATTCTAGTTAAGTCTACTGCAGCAGTAGCAGCACCAGGTTTACCCAATTTTGCTGCCGGAGCCGCTGCAACTGTAATGAATGAAAAGCCAGACAAAGCGGGGGAGAGAGTGCTACAAGCAGAGGGAGACTTACAAAATTCCGCCAGTGTGACACTTCCCGGAGGTTTCGAAGCAAGTGCAGACAGCAAGTCCTTGGAATCCCCTCACTCAGGAGATGAGAGTGCTGACTCGTTGGAGGCTAGCTGGTATCAACCTCATCTCCGCCACAGTGCCAAAGCCAAACGATTCCACAAAAAGGTTCGACGGAAGCTTAAAGATGGCGCAGAATCTCATGGAACAGAAGGAACGGAAGGGGAGCGTGAAAAAATTGAAAGTGATCAAAGTGAGTATATATTCATTATTTTTATGCATTTATTGATAATTTTTTTCTATTATAAATGCATTTAAAATGGCTTTTTATGAAATCTATTTATTTCATATAAATTAGTGGGTAGTATTACTAGTTTAATTGGTGCATGAAAAAATCTGCCAACACTTTTAAAGGCAAATCGATAAATAGAGTCTAAGATTTTACCAAAACCTGCTTT